CATCCCTTGTGCTTCACATTATTTTGACATATTATAAAAGTCAAATTGAGCTTTGATGAATCTCCTGATGACGTAGATCCCCAAGTGACAGAAGATTCAAATAAACCTGTTTGTGTCTGCAGTTCCTGCCATAACTGAATACAGAAACCAGATTACCCTTTTCTTTACGCCCACTTTCTTCCCCAAAATGAGAAAAGCCACAGGAAATTTCAACAGCAAAGCTGTGGACTTGTGCTAAAAGAAACACTAATTGTACTACAGTTCATCTGATGCGTCTTTGGTTCACACTTACTTTCTCTGAGACAGATTGGTGAATTATGTCATTTTCAACTCATATTCCCAGGTGTTTCTCCTCTATAATTTCTAACTCATAAGTCTTCGCTGTTTCAAAGTAGCTATAAATTCTTAATTTCTAACCTGTTTCATCCCATCTCTCATACTCACTACAATAATAATAAAATAATAATAATCTAACTCTATGCATTGGCCATGCTTCACATATTTGTCACACCCATAAATCTAGTCAGTGCATGACAATTCTTATATCATGATTATTAGCAAATAAGGTCAAAAATAATCTGGTTCCAAAGTTAATTTTCAACTAACTGCACCAACCAGGCCCAAAAATTTGCACTCAGCGCCATCTATTGATTCCTTCCTGGTAAAGTAGAAGGTAACACCCTGGCTAACTCTGTGGTACTGAACCATGTTTTACTGAACTGTTTGTTTTTTGTTGTTTTGTTTGTTTATTTTAATGCAGCAACACTGGGTCAGGCATTACAAAACATTTGATAAATCAGTGTTAAATTTCGACTTAATTTCTAACTAACCATATTCTGCTTTTCCATAGAAAGATTTATAAAGATGAAATACTGAGACAAGTTGCCTGAATAATGACTTTGAGGTGCTAATATCTTCGAGATACTGATTCTTCTCCATATATCACACTAGCACTGCAGGCTTTTCTTGGTGGTAGTTTAAGTTCTTATTAGTAGATTTGCAGCTTGGCAAGTAATAATTCCCATTATGCCAGGATAATTATTTTATACATCAAGATAGAATCACCGAACTCTTACATTTTACTTCCTTTTCCTTTGTGGAAATTTTCTTTCCTCTATACCCACTCCCTCTCATTCCTATGTTGCAAAATAAGGTACAGCTCTGACCTAGACAGATATGATCTATATGATCTAGAGTCACTCAGGTAAAACTTGGGGTAACTGCAGCTTTCAAGTCTTACCTATAGAAATCCTTTTCACGATGCTGTCAGTTCTATCAGTGCTGTTTTACTACTCTTAATGCATGCAGCACTGTTAGTGTAAGTAATCCATGTAATACCCAAACTGCAGAATTAAGGCAAATAAGCAGATTTTCATTATCAAAATCTTCCATGAGGAATCTACACAACTCTCACCAGAAATAAGAAATATTTCAGTGTATTTTGATGATGTACTACACAAACCATATCTTCCGCATTTGTGCATTGTGTAATCATCTCAAATAAAAATTGAAATCAAAGAGACAAAATATGTTTATCAATAATAACACAATAAAGACAATAAAAAAGAGTTTAGTCAGGAAGATTTATTGATTTACATCTTGATCAGTAGTCTATGTGGGGGCTGTGCATTTCTAGGGATTATGGATTTCAGAAGACAGCACATACTTACCTGTTTCAGTCTACTAGTCCTAACATTTGCAGAGGTATTTTATCAAGTGCAGGACAAAGAAAAAAAAAACTAACAAACAAACAAAAAAAAAAACTATTATTGACTCCATTAAAACTAAAGCTAAAAAAAGTTAAATAAATTGAAAAAAAAAAGTTGTTTCTTTTTTGTAATATTATATTAAAATTCAGATTAGGAGGAACCCTATTGAGGTCATGTGGCCCAACGTGCAGGTCCAGCAGGGCTAACTTTGAAGTTAGATTAGGTTGCATGAAGCCCTGAGAGAATAAAGATCACTGGACATTCTCTCCCAAGATCATATACTGAGTGGTACTCAAGCTATCTGTTATCACTGGAACAGGTAACTCTTGACATGGGTGAGATTTCACCTACTCATCTTGGCACTCAAAATTAGCCAGATATGTCTAAGTGGACTGCTGAAGAAGGTGAATGTAGCCTATCAGAAGATTCAGCTTCTCCTCTGTGGAAAAGAGGAACATGAAGAGAGGAATCTTCCTGCAAAGATCAACACAAAAAAAGACATCCCTCAAGTGGATCAGTGCCATAGTTTTTATTGATTGCAAGTAGTTATTCTGACACAGAGGTTACAGGCATCCAGTTTAAATACAGGATTTTCTGTGTGAGGCTGAAAGCTGTGATGTCGCTTGATTTAGGTTTAAAAATAAGTCAGTGAAGCATTTATTTGAAACATGTTTCTTACTGAGCCAGTAAATCAACTTTGTGTTCAATCAACTCTTGTAAGTAACTTACACAATAAACAACTTGCTGCACAGCAAAGAATTCAGAGCAGGAAAACGTGTCATAGCAACAGGGCAGGAAAAAGTAGGTAGGAGGAGATGCTCTTTATGCCCGTAATCCCAGCATAAGAGATAGGAAGACAAAGGCTATTAACAATACCACCTGAGAAAGTTTTCCAGATCTCAAGCATAAAAACATTTATATCCACAATATGAGAATGCACCTGTGCTATTTCCTGAAGAATAAAATCCCTCCATTCATAATTTCTATGTTCACACAACAATTGCTTGATAAAAAAAGCAAGCAGGAGAATCCCTACTTGATTTAATGATAAAAGGCTGCTCTCCCACAGGCAACGCTGTCTCAGAACTTTTATGGTAGTGTTATACTTAGAAATGTCAACAGAGGTGTAGGAAGCAATTTTGCATATTTCAGGTACAAAGATGTTTCACAAAAGACATCCTTATCCTTTCACTGAAATACAGCTGTAGCCTGTGACCATTATTTTTACCAATTATAACAAAAACACTGCCACTATTCTAGTAAGAATCCATGGTTAAAAACATTTTGTCTAATAGGTCTCTTGCAGACGAGCTCTTCATAGGTATCCTTAAGTGATCTCCTACTACCAGGAGTAAATGAAAGACTTCTGCAATCCAACGAGGCAAGGCGCCTCCAGGATTGAAACCTCCACGTGGTCTGTTGGAAGTAAAAATAAACAAGTTAATATTGTAGTTGAAAAGAAAGCCAAATACCATCTGAAGATTTGTGGGAAGGTCTTCTGGCTGTGAACTTGAGGTTCAATAAATAGACTACCGTCGTTCTGATACCATTGTCTGTTATGGGTAAATTGAAGTAAACAATCTGAATAGCAGGGCTTATTTACATACCAACACGAGTTTTTATTCTAGTTTTCACTCACCACCATTCAAAGCAGCTTACGTGCAGAAGCACAATACATCAGCCACCTAATTGATGTTTCTCATGTCTCTTAATTGAAGAATTCAGGACATAAGTTTTAGTCCAGATGTTACTGAAATTTATGACACTGTCAGCAGTAGCCAGACAATAGGCTTGTTGTGTTTAAGAGCTCAGAAGTTGTTTGACACATATGTCAAATGTGTGTGGGGAGCGTAAATCGGCTGACCATTCACAACTTGATTGTGTTAAAGTTGTATTCACAACTTTAGCGCTTGTTTTTTCCCCACAACTGAGGAAAAGATCACATTGCTTGAAGGTTTCAACACTGCTTGTTGGCCGATTGGTGCTGTGCCACTTTCTCTTCCTGTGCTCAAGAAGCTGTCCAAAGTTGTTCTGTGGGAAAAAAAAAAAAAAAAAAAAAAAGAGCTCATGAACAAGCAGCATAGCACCAAGTCATACCTGTATCTTACCCTGCCTCAGTGCATAGGTGGATGCAGGAGTGAATTACAGAAGTCCAATGCAACACCAGTGCTGACATCTCTTGAAAATGGCAACAGATAACAACTAAGTTTTATTTAAAACATACTCTGTGGATCCCATTTGTCCACTCATTTTGCAAGTCTCTTCCTTCCACATCTAAGGACCAAGGCTAATTTTGCTCATCAGCACAGTACAAAACCAGTCAGCAGAGGTTCGAGGGTTCAAGGGAGCATGGTGAGACTCCTAGAATATTAACAGGAGTAGATATTAACAGGAGTAGACTAACAAGGATAAAAATGGGACAGAACAAGTGGGAAGAATAAAGCAAAGTCATCTGGACAGGAAGAGGCAAAAGGCTAGCAGAATGAGTTCTATAACTAATTCTATTGCTATTATCTCACCTGCACTAAAATCTGTGCGTCTGCAGAGATAAATCTGTGTGTCTGTTGATCCCCCTATCAGCCATGCTGCACTCGCTAACTGACCTGAACAGAAGAACGCATGCTTATAGGTTAGCCTTCTGTCCCCTTCCCCCCCACACACCTTATTCTCCATTGGATTCTGTGACCACATATTGCAGACTTCTCTGGTTCTGAATCATTAGCCCCTCATTACTATCATTAGTATCATTTAAATACAGTTCAGTTACCTTTTCTTGGAGTTCAGAGTTACGTGGAGTCCCTTCCAAAGACTCGATTTCTGAAATTCTGAAGTTGAATCAGTTACTGAAATTCAGAGGGTTAATAAAAAACAAAAGACGAGATGTATCCAATCTTTGAAGTGGCTAAAAACTTAAAAACTGGACAAAGGTTTTGAAAGGAATTTAGAAATTACAGGAAGGAATTAAAAATTACATGGAAAGTTAATGTATTTCAAGGGATCAGTTAGTCAATCTCCTCTTTTAAGAACATGGTTGGGGACTACCTCCAGCTCCTTTGAATTCTCATATTATCAGGGGACCAAATCCACAACCATGAAACCAACAGCCATATTCATTGCTCGCTTTATGAATACAAAGTACAGTAAGCAAAGGGTGTCCATCTGCCTTCCAAGCTCATTCTGAAGATGTTTGGCATTAACACTGAAGCTGATGTTCAACGCACCTGTCAAACAATGGGATAAGGTCAAATATTACTTCATCCATTATATATCTCATAAAAATGTACAGAAAAGTGACTGGTCTCCAAAGTTTATTAAAAATCAAAGAATAGAAAACTTTACATAAAAATATGTCAATTTTAGCTTCCACATAGTTGTCCACACAAAAAATTTAAACATGATTTTTTTAAACCTGTAGCACATAACCACAGTGATAGCCAGGCCAATTTATTTGGTTCACCATGACTGAAGTGTTACATGATACCACTTTTCAAATGAATTTCGCTTTAAAATGGACGCTAGTATAAGACACCAACTAAAGCCTTTGAAGGCTCTTTAATGTAGTTATGCTCAATATTGCTAGTGTGTGAAGACTAAGCAGTACAGGCTCATGTAACAGCCCTTAGATATTATTTATGAATCAGCTCACAATTTTTATTTTTATTTAAAATTGTGATGAATCTGAGCATTAAGACAAACTTTTTGCAAACAGATATGCACTACTCTACTTTGGAATGTTGCCCTCTCTCCCCTCAAAGACCTGTTTTGTTCAACAGATTCAGTAATAACATGAACTACTTCTGCTTCAAAGGCATACAGCGTATTAAAAAGCTTCATGCTTGACACCTCATTTTAATAGTCAGATATCAGTTTTAAAACCACCTGTATCTGTACACAGTATAGATGTCCTGTTAACAGGATTCTTCAGCTTTCTCTGCTAATGGATTTATAGAACTGATCTGTAGTTTTCTGTATAGTTTAAGAACTTTCATTAAAAAAATGGGAAGTCAGAGGGCGTGAGATGTGACCTACTCCCAGGACAACTGTGGTGCTTTAAAAACTCAGGGTTAGGCAGGATGTACATTTTTTCAAAAAGTTAAAGACAGTGTTTGTCATGGCAATACACACTTGCATAGTATACCTGTATGCATCTGTAAATTAAGTGCCAGCCACTCATACTGTGTACAACACTGGGCTGTGCTCTCCTGCAATACATTAAAAGATACTTCTCATAATGCTTAGAGCAGCTGAAGTACTTTTTATATATTTGCTCTTAACAGAACTAATGCATACTGCTATACAGATTCCTTAATGGAATCAACATATTTCCTTTCTCCACATTCCTTAAGCCGGGTACCTCTGTTTAATAACGTTGTTTGAACCCAAACATTAACAGGTTACATTACTAAAATGCATCAAAGCGTGTAGTTCACAGCTTTTTAATTTCACATCAGGACTTGAACCAACCTTCCCCCCCTTCCCCAAAAGTTTTCTTTCTGGTACTAAGAACGCTGGATTTGTTGTCTAGTAAAAGGAATAAAATTAAAACTCATTGGTCAGAGCAAGACAACTGATAGAGGCCAGACAATGAGCTAAAAAACATAGGGTCGAAATGCTTTGGAGCGTAATACCTTCTTAAAACCATAAGCCAAATCGCACTTTCATTGTGAATCGAGAAGCCTCAAATATTACCAAATGTCATGTTTGTAACACTGCTCAGACAACCTGCCAAAACTATGAACCCAACTTAGATAATGCAACCTGGGAAAGGATCTGTAAATTAAAAAACCTCTTCCCCTTAAATATAACTTATGTGACAATATGAAATTAAATTAAAAATTCCAAGTTATTGCACAAATTATACCTCCAATATTTACAGAGCAAAAAATTCTGAACTTTGAAACAAACAGGAGAGCAGCAAATTTATTTTTATGAATTCCCAACTTGATTTGCTGCAAAGAAAAAAAATCCAAGGGGCTGAAGTTTCCTTCACTTCCAAAATAAAAGAAAACAGAACCCACAAAGGAACAGATGTAGCCACAGCAAAAAAAGCCACAGCATTTGTAGATGTCCTTGCAGTTCCATTGTCAGAGCTGCTTCGGCACTGTATGAACCATTGTGGGAAGGCAGAAAAACAAACTTCCACATTTAATAAGGCTTCACAGATAAGCACAACTACTTCTTGAAGATGGACTGAACCACCACACAAAGAAACATGCAAAGAAGTCAGCTGCAGATATTTGGCAACACCAATAAAACGATGTGCTGGACGCTGGTCTCCATCCCCCAAGTCGAGTGGCACTCGCTCAGTTTGTCTGAACAGGGAAGGTCATTTTGGCATCTGCCATTATCTGCTCAGACTAATAGGCAAACTGTCTCTGTGTTTTTTTCTTCTCCATATATTACGATTGTATTGGTGGTGTCCTCTGTTACCAACTGGTTGCCTCATGCCTCCATTGCTGACTGGGCTGTAGCTGTTGCCTTGATTATGAGTTCCTTTCATAGAAAACTTCATTCCACTGTGCTGCTAAAAAAAAAAAGATTCACTCAGTTTAGACATATAAACAAACAAAACAAACACATATCAGTAGTAGTTCCTCAACATACATCAGTTATTCCCACTGAATGTTGCTTGACACAACTGATCTTTCCATGTTTGTCTATTTTTAGCTACTCAAGTCCAACGGCACTAACAGTTTAAGTGTTTTCTAAAGTAAATGTCCTGCAAATGAAGATGTATATTTAAAAGCATCCTTAGAAGTATTTTATCTCAGTATTAAATATGCTTACTATGCATCACCCTTATAAAAACAAAAGGTCTTCCATATTAAACACTAACTGTAACAGTCATGTCTATTTTAAAGATCCTTAGCAAGAGCATGACCAAGTGAAATATCCAATAAGACTTTCAGGAACATTATCATTAAGGAACGCAGGAGCATGATCACATGAGCTGATGCAGACAAAGGACAAGCTCATTCTGCCAGTAATCTTACTGAGCTACAGGTAAATTAGCTATAGCTTGTAAACATCTGGGCCTATTCTGATAAATCTTACCAGTCTGATCCATACACTACACCCAGACCAAGGCAAAACAATGATCCTCAGTATAGCATGACACTTTTTCTTTGGGAGAATGTGGGAAATTGGGAGAAAACTAACTTGGAACAACAACTGCTGAAAATGTTTAATAGCATACATCTACCAAACCATAAGGTACTATAGTTGTCCCTGTCACTTAGCACCACAGTAAGTTGTGTTAGTATTTGTGTACTTAAGATAGGTACAAGAGTTTTGAAAGATGAAATTGAAACAGACTTTCCAAACACTTGCAACTTCAATGCAAGCAACTTTTTCTGATGCCTGAAGGAAATAAAGACAATTGACTACTTTTAACAAAAGCTAATACACCATTTTGTCTACCTGAAGTGGTTTAACAGGGACACCTCAAAGCTAACATGAGGGAACTGCTCAAAATACTAAGTATACTTTATTAACTCACATTTCCAAACTAGTCTGGAGTAGAAAGAGAAATTATGAAAACAACAAACCATCATTAAAACTATTTAAGGGATAGTGCCATGCACAGCTTTTTACTGTAAAAGCATAGCCAGATGAGACACTGAGCATCCAGAAAAAAAAGCCAGTGAAGACTAGTATTGAGAAATAACTGCAGTTAACTGCGGGGCAATAAAAATAACTAACCTTTTTTCATTTGTAGGAAGTGCCCTGTGGTGACCTACCTTATCAGCCTCCAATATGCAACTTCTAAAACTCCCAAGACAGACATGCTAAGTGCTTTCCTCAGGCTAGCAACGGTAAAATAATCAAGGATGAAAAGGAAAAGAGATTAAAGAGGAGAATCCTTCATTCTCAGGAGGCAAAATTACTCCAAACTTATTTATTGAAGTATGTTGCCAAAATACCTACCAAAAGCTATTTATCAAAGTCAGCAAAAAGAGACTAAAAAAAGTATTTTATTTTTGGCAAGTGGTCCTTCAAGCTAACACCATTTTTCACATTCTTGTGCAGCAAAATTTTCTAATTCAATGTGTACATCTATCAATTATATAAGCAGACTGTCAAGCACCTACAAATAAGTATCAAGTAATTCACCATGATTAAATGAGGCCAAATACTAAAAATGATCCTACTACAGTCAAAACACTACGAACAGCCAGTACTCATCAGTTATTCTTGACTATATGATGAAAAAGAGACATAACTTCAGCTTTGCTACTGTAAAACCAGTATAAAACTGAGTAAAGCAGATACAGAACCTAAGCAAGCCTATCATCTTCAGCTGGAAATGAACAAACTGGCAACTTAATCCTCAATTTGAGTGTTCAGCAAAAAAAAAAATTACTGGGGTGTCTTGGCAGACAATGCTTCACTCAAATCACTTCAGCCAACTACCACTGCAAATACGATGATTAATCCCTACCTGCCTGTATCCTGAAAAGAAGTTATATCCTTGGTTTGTTCAAGAGGTAATCAGATTTCCAAATAATTGCTACTAAGCTAGCCAGAAAGCCATCTCTAGCTTTTCATAGAACACTTTGAACGTCTTCTTAAGAGCAGAATCTCAGTGTTTAATGGCTCCATCAGTTGGTGCTTAAGAAAGAGACATAAGAGGTCCCTGAGCCAACTGAGTACAAAGGTGATAAATTTATACCTAGTAGGTCTCAACTAGCTATTGTTCTTTTTTTTTTTTCCTCATTTGCAAAAGTATAATGTGCATCGTCTTTAATTTGAACATATTAGCTAATGATCTTTCAGCTCCTGAAGTAATTCATTTCTTGTCATTCTATTTCTTTTCCATGCTGCTGATGATTAGAGAGATCTTGACCATGTACCTCCTCATTCTCTTCACCAGGCTGGATCATTTGTTTTGTAGAGAACCTATTCCATATTTGATCACCCTTGACATCCCTTCCCTATTCTCCCTTTTGTATTATAGCTTTCGTCCAGTGTGAGAGGCAAAGTTGTACTCATTATTCATAATGTGGGGATGCACATGAATTTTGCTGTGATGTTTTCATTCCCATTCTTTATTCCTAACAATGCCTAAAATCTGGTTTGACACTCAGTTCTCAGTAGGAAATCATGAAAGCATTATCAAAGCAGTTTTCTGCAAAAACGACAAGATCTCATCTTTGCAACAAACTATCAGCCCAGGGCATACCACCCTTTACAAAGAGTTAAAACATCTCTCTCTCTTTCCTGATGGACCCCTTTGAAAGGGGTTAACTCTTCTTGGTTGGCCCTGCAGGAGCTTAACTCCACCTGCAAGCTTTGCCACACATTATTCATTGCCTATTAGATGTTAGACAACGTAAGACCCAACACAAACAATGAACTCCATTTACTATGAAAACCTAATCTTATTTAGATTATAAAATATAAGACATAAAAGATAAGTTAATCTTATCTAACTAGTTAATTGTTTACAAGAGGACATGCTTCTTTAAGAACTCCAGAATCTTTGGTAAAGGAAGTTTAATGTCTTGTGGAAATTCCAAGAGACTGTCTAATCTTATCCACACATTTCTTGATATCCACATGATTAAGACTCCCATAATCACTGAGACATGGCATGTCTCATCACATGATAACTAGAAAGAGATCCAGTAACCAAAACAATAGCCCTGTATCCATCTGACAGACAAATCTTTACATGTCTTTAGTTTAGATGTTTTCAGTTCTTTAGATCTATTTCCCTTGACAGAACATATGACCACTGATTCAACAACTGATAGATTTTGTTTGTTTTTGACAAGCATGCTCTGAACTTGATCTTCTACAAATAAAAGCTGCTAGATGTAGAGGAAAACTTAAGAAACTTGAGTCTAAAACAAGCTGGAGAAAAACCTGTAACAAGTTAAAAAAAAAAAAAAAGTTTTCCAGATGTTTTGAACAGAAATTTAAGATAAGTGTGTTCCTGCCTTTACTCCAAAGGACAGAAAACCAGGGGAAATTGAAAAGCCAGGTAATTATTTGCTAAAGAAACTAAACTTTTCATCTTAAATACCGGCAAATTTACTACATGAAACTGATGACAGTCAAAGACTCGGTATTCAGTCAGAATTTCTAGCCAGAGGTCACCTACACTTCAAAAACACAAACTACATAATTAACAAAGCTGCAGTCTGAACAGTTTCTAAACCTTCTCTTTTTGCCTGTTATCTCTAAAATAAGGAGAAAAGGGAGAGAAAGCAATGGAAATGATGTATCAATACTCTTAACTTCAGAAGAAATGACATTATACATACAGCACTGAATTTGTAAATAAGAGAAAGTTTAGAAAATAGGAAAATAAGTTCAGAAAACCTATTACAATTACATTGTTAATGCTATGAGATTAATGGCCATAATTGAATCCAGTCTGCAGCCGATAGGAATTGTGATCATTCAACTTGCGTATTTCAAAACCGTTTAACATAAAATATTAGTGTGGTATGCCACAGAATTTTAATGCACCCTTAACATTTTAAGTATTCCCTTAAATACGTAACTATACATCCTCAAAATGTTTCAAAGTTCTTTTCAATTTCTCACAGTGTTTCCAAACTTTATTTCAGGCCTATAGCAAAACCCACAACCCTTATTTTGAGGATTTACATCCACTTTACCATAGCATCTGGAAATACGCGCTAAAAAGCATTCTGATAAAATGTAACAGATGAAATTTAACTCTTATTCTTTATAGAAAACACTGTTTTGCAGAGAAACAATCTAACCGATATTTTAACCATTAAAACCCTACTGGATAAACCAAGTACTAGGCACTGGTTCATTGACCTCATTACTTTTAAACTAAAAAGGTCATACAACGAGCATACTTGTACCAGCTCTTTGAGCATACTCTCCATCTATTAAGATTTATGTGGTTTATATTTTTTCAGCTGAAATAGAGCAAAAAAAATCTAAACAACTTGTGTGAGAATTGTCATCTGTGGAAATAAGGGTCGAAGCACTCAAATATCAGAGATGCTTCCCCTCCTTCTTGACACCCCCCCCCCCCCCCCCCCCGTTGTTTGGGCCTCCTGGCCAATTTCATCTACATCTGACAAGATCATGAGTCCTGGACAAATTTTTACAAAGCAAGCAAAATCTCATTTCTGTTCCTATTAAAGAAAACAGCATTTATGCAACCAGTTCAGAGCAACAGAAAAAAACTGACATGGAGACTAGAAAGAAGCTCAAACAATAAAAGTTTCATTCTCTCTTATCTCCTAACACCAGAGAACCAAAAGACTCAAAGCCACAAGGGAACAATTTATAATCAGACCTTCATACTTTATCCTACTTTGTGCATTTACTCTGCCAGTAGCCTGTAAAAACAAAGGGAAGCTTTTGGTTCTCCTTCCCTTTTAACTTGTTAGGCAACTAATACTCTGGGTAGGTCAAAGATAACCTGGTATTTGAGAGATCAGAAGGCATATTTCCCTGAGTGACTGAGTAAGAGAGTACAGAGTGAAGTTGAATCTGACACACAAAATACAAATACTCTTTGATCTTTTCATG